TTTGGTAACTGCTGTTTATCAGGTTGAGGAAGAGCTCATATTAGTTTGCTAAGAGTTTTTACCACTAACTATTGGATATTAAATTTTACAATTTTTTCTTTAGCAATTGATATGATCAATGTATTTTAAAGATTACTAACAAGTGCCTTATACTGACTGATTTTTTAATCAGTCAGCCTTGCATTTCTGGAATAAACTTCACTTGTTTGTGGTGTTAAAAAAAAAAAAAGAAAAAAGAGTGACAAGGCCAGCCTGGGCTACGTAGTGAGCTCAAGGCCAGTCTGAACTACAGAGCAAGACCCTGCCTCAAAAAACAAACAAACAAACAAATAAAAGGGAAAAAAGAGGGAAAAGCAAGTCAAGTAAGTTTTTGCAAGCAATAAAAAATGGAAGGAGACAGGAGCAAGCCTTTCTGGGGCTGGAGGTGTAGTTCAGTGATGGAGTGGTTTTCTAGCATGGTCAAGGCTGTGGTTTTAATCTCCAGCACAACACACACACACACACACACACACACGCACAGACACACGCACAGACACACGCTCACATACATACATACACAGGCTTTCTGGAAGAAGTGGGACTCATGGTGAGGTTTGTGAAAAAGAGCTTAGTGACAGGAGTATCAGGCCAGGTGTGGTGGTGCATGATCCCAGCATGCAGGAGGCTGAGCCAGGAGAATCGCCACAAGTTCAAGGCCAGCCTGAACCACATAGTGAGACCCTGTCTCAGAAAAACTAGAAAAAAAAAAGTAACAGAGGAGTATGATTTTTGGGGCAGCCCACCATCCCTGTCATCCCTGAAAGCCTGGCAACCCCAAAATGTTATCACTGGAAACTTAATGCTTTGAGTCAAAGTCATACGTCTCTTGGAGAGCTAGATCTTCAGTCTCTGGTCATTTCCTTTTGTTTAGAGTGCTGGGGATTCAACCAGGGTCTCATGTATCCTAGGCACCCACTGACCTATACCCCAGTCCAATTCTTTCTTTTTTTTTTTTTTTTTGGTACCGGGGATCGAACTCAGGATCTTGCTATTTTGAGGCAGGTGCTGGTACCATTTAGCTACATCCCCGGCCCCCAATCCTAAGTAGACCTGAGCTGCATTCCCAACCCTTTAAAAAAAAATTGTTTTTGGTACTGGGGATCAAACTCCAGTCCTTGTGCTTGTGAGGCAGGCGGCAGAACCACTGACCTAAATCCCTGGGCAAAATTTTTTTGTTGTTGTTGGTAAATTTTTTACACTTTATTAAATTCTTTTATTGGTACATTGTAGGCATACAACACAATTACATTTCTCATTGGGAATTGTACCTTTACATAATGGATCTTGGTGCAAAATTTTTATTTTGAGGCTAGGTCACTAAGTTGCCCCAGCTGGGCTTGTAGTCGTTATGTATATAGCCAAGGCTGTCCTTGAACTCGAGATCCTCCTGCCTCAGCCTCCCAGCTCAGTCTCCCAAGTGCTGGGATTATAGGCATGCACTGCCACACCTGACTTCTTACATTTATCACAGTTCTTGACATCCATAAACAAACTATTGATTTAGGGATTTAAATTATTTGATATTCACTTGATTTACATTCTCTGATTATTTCTTTTTTATGAGTGAGTGAGAATAAGAATGTCTACTTGGCTGATTTGTTTTTTGGTTTGTTTTTGTTTTTGGTACCAGGGATCGAGCTCAGGACCTTGCACTTGCAAGGCAGGCACCGGAACCACTGAGCTAAATTCCTGGGGTGACTGATTTGTTTTGATAATTGAATGAGCTAAAACATTTAAAACCCTTACTAGAGTGCTTAGATGTAGCAAAGGAGAGGAATGAGTAGAGATTACCCTTTGACAAACCACGACCAAAGTCATAATTTTTTCCTCCAAAAAATTACATGTTGGGTCAGTGTCTAGAAAGGGTTTGTTGACAAATGGGCATTTGCTCACATCATTGCAATGTATGGTGTAGGAAATAAATTTCACCTGTGCAAAATATATTGCTTTTTAGGCAAGCAAAACACTCACCTGCTCCTACTTGGCTTTCTAGCTTCTTGGACTGAGAATCAATAAATCGATTTCTTCCTATCATAGTATCCCAGCAAAGGCCTGGGGGTTAGCAAAGGCCAGAGGTGGCTCCAAAGGGACACAGTCAAGGATACAGCCAGCTGCATCCATGTCTCCCATCTCTTCAGCCACTTGGACACTGCTTGCTTGTATATATATATATATTTATATGTATATATTATCAGACCTTTGCCTGACCTTTTTTGTTTTTGTTTTGGTACCAGTGATCAAACTCGGGTCCTTGTACTTTTGATGCAGGTGGCAGAACCACTAAGCTAAATCCCTAGCATATGTATATGTATATGTTTGTGGTTTTTCCCCCACTAAATTCATAGCCTTATTTTAGAAAGTTTGTCAAGGGGCTAGGGATGCAGCTCAGTGGTAGAGCACTTGCCTAGTATGCACAAGCCCCTGGGTTCAAGCCATACCACTACAAAAAAAAAAAAGTTTGTAAATGGATGAAGATACATGTGTTTATGAATCAGAAGGCTCAATACTGTTATGATGTTAATTTCCTCAAATGAAGCTACATACCCAGGGCAATCCCAATTAAAAAACTGAAACAAGGGGCCGGGGATTTAGCTCAGTGCTTTCGCTGCCTGCTGCGCAAGCGCAAGGACCCGAGTTTGATCCCCAGTACCAAAAAAAAAAAAAACAAACAAAACAACCCAGCACACTCCGGAGGTTGAGGCAGGAGGATCTCTGTGAGTTTGAGGCCAGCCTGGGCTACATAGTGAGTTCAGGGCCAGCCTGAACTATAAAACAAGGCCCTGTCTCAAAAACAAATACAAAAGGGCTGGGGATTTAGCTCAGTAGTTCCGCTGCCTGCTGTGCAAGTGCAAGGACCAGGGTTTGATCCCCACTACCAAAAAAACCAAAAAAAAAAAGCTCTTCTTGGGCCTGGGATTTAGCTCAGTGGTTTCACTGCCAGCTGCGCAAGCGCAAGGACCCGAGTTCGATCCCCGGTAACAAAAAACAAAACAAAAAAACAAACAAACAAACAAAAAGCTCTTCTTCAAATGAAGCAGCTAGTTACAAATTATGAGAAAATAGTCACGAGCTATATCTGACAAAAGTTTTATATCCAGAATATACACAGATTTCTTTACTATCTATAAGATAAATGACGCAATTTATGTGTTTGAGGGTTTTTTTGGTTTTTTTGTTTTTTTGGTACCAGGGATTGAACTCGGGTCCTTGCACTTGCACAGCAGGTGGCCAAACCACTGAGCTAAATCCTGGGCCCCAAATGATACCATTTAAAAACTGTGGCAAAAGGTGTGAACAGACAATATATACAGGAATAGCACATGAAAAGGTGCTCATTAGAGAAATTAAAATTAAACCCACAAAGAGAAGCTACTTCATGCCCGCTAGAATGACTAAATTTAAAAAAGACTGATACGATCACAACATGGTAAGAAATTGAAGGAACTAGAATGTTCATACATTCCTGATGGGTGTGTAAAATGGTACAGCCACTTTGGAAAACAGTTTGGGAATTTTTCACGTAAGAAACATAAACTTGGGCCAGGGATATAGCTCAGTGGTTCCACCACTTGCCTCGAAAGTGAAAGGACCCAAGTTCGATCCCTGGTACCAAAAAAAAAAAAAAAGAAACATAAACTTATCCTGTAGGATGTCAATGTGGGTGAATCAGCACAGACCTCTGTCGTGCAAAAGAAATCAGGTGCAAATGTGTCCCCTCTGTTGAATTTCGTCTATTCCTAGGACAGGCAAAATCAGTTTATGGTGAAAAAATTGAAGTAGTGGCTGGCTTTTCCACTGGAGGAGATTGAGAAGGGATCCAGGAAGTCGTTGGGGATGATAGTGTTCTCTATCTCCAGAGACGTTGGGCTTCACAGGTGTACAGGTTTTCAAAATGATTGCTCTAAGTGTACACGTGGATTCCTTCCCAGGCTGTGAGCCTGTCTCAGAGTCAGGAAGAGGATCCCCTCCCGCTTCCTGAGGCTCACAGGAACCTTGCAGGCAGCTCTTCAGCCCCCTGCCTCCTTCACTGTGACCCACCAGTGAGAATTTCTTGAAACCTGATCCCACTGGTCTTGGACAGCCAAAGGGAATATGGGTAAGCCACACCCTGAGAGGGCCTCCGGTTGAGACACAAGGTGACCTGCTTTGCTGTCTGAGATTGGGGGCTCTAGGCCCAGCAGCAGACTTCCTTCAGAACTGTGTGACTTTGGCTAAATCATTAGCCTCTCCGAAGGTCAGTGCTCCAGAGGGCAAGGAGCAATTGCTTTCATCTTTTCTTCCGTGCCTGGAACATATGTCTACTACCTGTTTTTTGGGGGGTTTTTTTTGGTACCGGGGATCGAATTTAGGTCCTTCTGCTTGTGAGGCAGGTGATCCCCAGCCCTGTCTACTAAATGAATTATATCGCATAGTGCCGGGACAGGACGGCTGTTCTGTGTGCTTGTAAAGTTAACATGTTAGTTATCTGTTCCCTGGAGGCTATTTTTCTTATGTTAGGGGATATTGAACCCCTTTGAATATTGGAGAAAGTCGTGTACCCACTCCTCCCCAAAAAATACATACCTACAGTCCATTTTACACATCATTTCCACATGCCTGAGAGGCCTGTGGGCCCTAAGTTAAGAACACTTGGATCTGAAGAGTTTTCACATAGCTCTGAAGTTCAATCAGCATTATTTTATTATACTGGAGACTGAAACCAAAGACTCACACATGTTACACCAGTGCTCTACTACTAGGCTATATCCCCAATCCTTTTTATTTTATTTTGAGACAGAATCTTACTAAGTTGCCCAAGCTGGTTTTGAACTTGAGATCCTTCTGCCTTAGCCTCTTAAGTAGCTGGACGATATACAAGCTCCACTGAGCCCAGCTCTATCAGTCACTCTTGCAACTTGGGTACCATTTGCTCTGCACTTTATCTTTGCCATGATCTTTATTCTCATTAATTCCTGTTTTAGTCCCTCCACACCCTCTGAGGATGGTTTGCAGATGAAGGAAAGTGGGTTTAGAGAGGCCAAGCGACTTGCCCAGGTATGCGCTGCTGGTGATGGCTCGTCTCCCGATGTGACAGCACTTGGGCCTTCTCATTGAGCCCCCTGCTTAGTCCTCAAGGTGAGATTCTCCTCCCCTTCACCTCTCCTTGAAGCCCATGCAAAAGCCTGTTAACTAACTGTAAAGCTCTGTACCAATGGCAGGACTGGCTTGGCCTAAATCCAGCCCTGGTGAGAAGATTCTGCAAGGGATAAGTGACCCCAGGCCCATCCCAGGTGCAGGCCTCAGACCCAAGTCAGACATGTGTCATCTGCCCCTTGGTTTCTCAACTCAGCCCATAGCCTGGGGGGTGGGTGTAGAACCAAAGGAGGGAGGAGAAACAGGAAATTACTTATTAGAAAAAGTGTCAGATTGAGTCACAAATCTGAGTTACAACTCAGAGAGATAATCTGGGGCAGGAAGGGAAAAGAAAGGCCTTTATAAAAGGGGTCCCTCTTCTCACAGTGATGAGGATTCCTAGATGAAACCACTTCTCTCCAGCCTCTGGATGTTGTCTCCTGGTCCCCAAAACGGGAAGAGAGAGAGGACACAAGAACTAAAGGATTGGAGTCTGCGCTCTGGAAGGAAGGAGGGGCTGAGCCAACACACGTCAGACACTCACTTCCTTCAAGCCCTGAGCTATTGCATCACTGTATTTTACCTGCACCAACAAGCATGCTTTACTATTCATTTCCATTTGTGTGTGTGTGTGTGTGTGTGTGTGTGTGTGTGTGTGTGTGTGTTACCAGAGACTAGAGACTAGAACCCCAGGGTGCCTTACCTCTGAGCTGCATCTTCAGGCCTTTTTTATTTTTAGACAGTGTCTCAATTAGTTGCCCAGTTGGGACTCAAACTGGTGATCCTTCAGCCTCAACCTCCCTAAATGCTGGGTTTGTAGGTGTGTGTCACCCTGCCTGGCTAAACCCTGCTTTAAAGAGGGGAAAATCAAGGCAAAGAGGTTAAATGGTTTGGCCAACGCCCACAGACAAGTGACCAAAGCTGGACTGTAAAGCTGGAGAGATCAAACCAGGACCGCTCATACTTCAAGAAAAACATTAAGCAATAGAACTAGGACAGCCTCACCCCAAGTCTGCATGTAACCATTACTCCATCTTGCTTCCTTTGTCCTGGCTGTTTGCTTATAACTACACAAATCACACACCCTCTGATTAGTTAATGCTCGAGATAGCTCTGTCTGACACTTGAGAAAATGTCAGAGGGGTCAAGCGTCACAGGTCTGACTGACAGCATGTCCGGCTCCACATCCACCCACTGCTGCCTTCACAGATGAGCTGGGGAGGAGTGGAGACAGGAGGGGACCAGCCAGGTAGTTGCAGGGGCTCAGGATGAGGGCCCACATGGCCCTCCTGTTCATCACTCAGTCTTTCTCCTCAGTACCAGCCCTTTGCCTGACATTTGCAGCCACCTTCTCTGGGGGTGGCTCATGGAGGTTTCCCTGTGCTGCTGTTGAGTCATTTCTCTTTTGAGTTCCCCAGAGTTCATGGGAACTCTCCACCCAGAAATGGAAGCTACTCAGAAGACCTCAGTTCAAAGTGGAGGAACTTCCTAGCAGCGTGGGGACTGCCTAGTGATGTGGTGGATTTTCCAGCACTGGCCATATTCAAGTAGAAACTGAATAGCCGTCTAAGGGGGATTTCTATAGTGGGCAGAGGCTGGGCCTAGGCTGTTAAAGCCCTTCTGACTGTGAGATTGTATGAGTTATCATGAGATGAAATTTCACCCATCCATGAGGGTCAAGTGGTAGCACATATACGAGCTTTCATGTCAGATAGACCTGGATTCAAACCTGGCTCAGAAATCTGGTGGTGCATGCCTATAGTCTCAGCTATTTGGGAGGCTGAGGCAGGAAAGTCGCTTGATCCCATAAGCTAGAGACCAGCCTTGACAACATAACAAGACCCCATCTCATAAAAGCAAAAAATGGCTTAGCTATCTCGTTTGGGGACTGTGGGCATATTTCCTCCCTTAGCCTCAGTTTCCTTGTTGTAAAATGGAAATTATAATACCTTTGAGCGTTAAGGGTGATGCCTATGTTCTGGTTGGTATAATAAGAACACAACAAATTATGCCTACTCCTCAGCATTAAACAAACGGCTAAATCACAGATTGGCAGGTTTTTTGGTGGCCTTTGATGACAGAGTTGAATGAAAGAATTAAATTCATGTGTTAATCGAGGTACTAAACGTCTGGATACTTAACATGAATAGGAAAACAGCTTTTTTCTGTGTCTATCTCTGAAATAATCATGAAAAATGTGATATATAGGGCTGGGGATTTAGCTCAGTGGTTTTGTCGCCTGTTGCGCAAGCACAAGGACCTGAGTTCGATCCCTGGTACCAAAAAAAAAAAAAAAAAGTGATATATAAGTGGGTAAAATTCAAGAAATGTTCAAGGATCATGATGCCTTTGCTAAGAATTGAAAATCTGAGTCTCTGACCCAAAGGGAACACATCAGCACAGATAAACATTCCCCTGTGGGAACAGAAATCAGCTCTAAGACATTGATGGATTTCATTAGTTCTCTGTGTGTGCAGCCTAGGTGATGGGAAACTCACTACCTGCTGAGACTGTCAGTAGGAAACTTACCATGTTTCCCAGCTTGTTTTTTTACTGTTTGCCAGCTGGGAAATAGAATTTTCTAATATTGTCATCCAACTGAGACCAGACCCCAATCAGACAGGCACTGTATGATCTGAGGAATGTGTAAGCAGGTGGGCATTCACAGCAGCAGAGGTGGGGCCAAATGTCTGATAGAGTGACTTTCAGAATCACACAGATCTTGGCATGAGTTCTGTTCTGTGACTCAGCTGTGTCCTTGGGCAAGTCAAAAACTCTGAACAAGGACCAGGGATTTAGCTCAGTGGTTCCAGTGCCTGCCTTGCAAGCGCAATGGTCCTGAGTTTGATCCCCGGTACCAAAACCCCCCACAAAAACCAAAACAACCCTGAAAAGTTTTCTTGTGTGTGAAATGGGATTGATTGTACCTTGCTCACATGATGATTCAGTGAAATTAAACATTAAAGTGCTTGGTGCTGGGCACTTCACATAGGGAACACCTGCTTAAGAGACTGAAGCCGGTATTTCATGGGAGGGGACATTCTCAGAGATGGCTATTGAGGCATTAAGGGAAAGAGTGATGCTGGAACTTGGGAAGCTCTGGTGCTATGGTTTAACTGTGGCCCCCAAAAGTTTATGTGTTGGAAATTTAATCCCCAAATTCATATGTTAATGGAGTGGAGGACTTCAAGAGATACTTAAGATTCTATGAGGTCATACAGCTACTGGTAATGGCATTAGTGGCTTTGTCAGAAGAGGAAGACAGGCCCAAGCTGGCACTCTTGCGGTCTCAACATAGGATGTCCTCTGCCATGCAAAGATGCAACAAAAAGGCACTAAATAGATGTTAGGGCTAGGCTCTTAGACTTCTCAGCCTCCAGAACCATTAGCTAAATTAACTTCTATTCTTTGTAAATTACCTGGTCTGAGGTATATCACAACAGAAGCAGACCAAGACATCTGGGTTGACAATGTGTCTCCCCAGGCTGGGTCATTTCTGCTAGTGGGTTTTGCCCAGGGAGTCAGCACTTAGAAAGGCAAGTTCCTGTCAGAGATGCTGGGAACTGGGAGCTGTTTCTGGAGTCCAGTGAGCCCAGTGTCTTGCCCTTGTAAAAACAAGAACAAGCTTAATTGTACAAGCTTTATTTATTTATTTTTTTCTCCCAGTTCTGGGGGTTGAAGCGAGACCTTCCTTCCTCCCCTTTTTTTTTAAAAAAAGGTGTTACTAAGTTTCTCAGGCTGCCCTTGAACCCACAATCCTCCTGCCTCAGCCTCCCACATAGCTTTGACTACAGGACTGGACTGCATCACCATGCCCTGCTGGTATAAACTTTTATCTTCCTTGATACATTCATATTCACTCATTCATTTGATCTTCAGGTGATGATGTGAAGTGGACAAGAGTAATTCCCATTTAGCAAGTGGGAAGGTGGAGCATGGAGAAGTATAACATTTTGGTTTGGGAAGTGAGCTGTAGAGAAAGTACCTATGGTTTCCTCTGTACTTAACACTACCATTGCCTGACTCTTAAACTTTGCCTCTGGTGCCTGTGGGAAGACACTAACTGCTCAGAGCCCCAGTTTCCCTTCCTCCTCCCAGATACCTTTCCAGGCTCTGCCTCTATGCTTACCCAGCTGCACCTGCATTCTTTTCTTTCATCATTTGACAGCCATTGGCTGAGCACCAAGGTACTGTGTGCCAGGTACAGGCCATAGGAGTAAACAAAGCACAGCCCCCACCTCATGATCAATCCAAAGCAGGGTGGTGTACAAAGAGATGGAGCATGTCACTAAGAACAGCCTGGGGTCTCAGCTGGTTTTTTGGAGGCATCATTAATTTTGCTAGGGGATGAGTAGAAGTCAGCCAGGTGCATGGGCAGAGGAAGCCAGCAGAGGCAGGAGCATGGCAAGATTGGGGCTTGTGATCAGTTTGGGGACAGGTTATGGGTGGATGCGGGGGACTCAGCGAGGGCCAAGTCACACAGGACACTGAGATCAGGCTGGGACACCTCAGCTCTGTTATGGACCGTGAGGGGTCACTTCAGGGCAGACTCTGGGTCAGGTTTATGATCCTAAATGGAAAATGTTGGAGACACAAAATACTGGAGGGAATCTGGAGGCTGTAGGAAAGAACAAAAACGAGGTGGGCAGGGAGGCTGGAGAGGAGATGGAGCCGCTAAATATACAGGAGGCCCTAAATATGATGGGGGCAGGATGCAGGCTGCACGTGGGAAGGGAGGGGAAGGAATCAGGACAAGGCTCAGGATCCCAGCTGCAGTGATAGGGTTCAGGTGGACAAGCTCAGGAGGTGGGGAGGACAGGAAATGTTGGGTTTACTGTACAGATAGGGAAACTAAGCCTTAAAAGTGCAGAATACATGACATAGTTCAAGGGCTCAATGCCATGTGTCACCGGGTGCTTAGGGGGACTCCTCAGTCCTCGAGGGTCCCAACATAGCCCTCTCTGCTCCTGTCAGGGTGCGGGGCTTTCAACCTACACTTCTAGGCCAGCTCCAAGGCTGAGCTGCTGTCACATGGTAGCCGGATGTAGTCACCCCTAAGGCCCTGGCTATTGCCTCTGTAAAGTGGTGAGGCTAAGAAGTAACAAGCAGAGGCCCTGGTTCCTAAGGCTTCAGATCATGACAGACTGGCTGGCTGTCATCTGTCTCCCTTGAAGGTGCTCCTGCCTCTGCTATCCTAGTAACGCCCACCCCTCCACTTTCACCCCTGAACCAGCACTTCTCAAATTTTTAACATGCCTACAAGTCACATGAAGCTCTTACTAAAATGTAGGAGGTTCCAATCAATCAGGGCCGAGGGTGGGCCTGAGATTCTGAATTTTTTTTGTTTTGGTACCAGGGATCAAACTCAGGACCTTGCATCTGTCTGCGAGGCAGGCGACAGAACCACCGAGCTAAATCCCCGGCCGATTCTGAATTTTTATTAAGTTCCCAGATGATGCCAATGATGCCACCCCATGGGCCACGCCTTAAGAGGTCCAGTGTTTTGGCTTCAATAACGTTCTCTAAGTTAATGACTCCCACAGTTATATTTCCAGCTCAGACCTTTCTCACGAATTCCAACATTTTTCGGGGGTGGTACTGGCAATTGAATC